TTTGTCAACACGAACTGCTGCCTGAGAGGCACTACTAGCCCCTCCCCCATCAGAGTGTCAGAGCAGGACGAGTCAGTGCAACGTCAATCAAATGAGAGAGAGGGTGGGGGCGTTTGCTGCAATGGGGTTGGGAGTGTTTTATGGGTAGATTAGTTTATTTTGCCTGTAATACGTCATTATCGTTTTTCTAATACAAAGGTAAGTGAAGGGGGCGCTGAGCAGAGTTACAACCAAGGATTACAAATGATTACTTTTTTCTTCAGCAGTTCGGCGCCTCCTCCAGCAGATGGCGCTCTAGGTGACCGCCGCCAAGTTTGCCTATGCCGAGAGCCTGCTCTGCTGGTTTTAGGCAAATCCATTTGCTGTTTGTAACAAAAAATATGTCTTCCTGGGGTTTTTTTTTTTAAACCCTGCAGGACACAAGTGGTACAATAAGGGCAAGTGCTTTTCTTCCCTCTGGATGACGTGAAGCTTACTCACAAGCTCTTTGCAATCACTAAAACGTTCTTCACACTGACTGATGTGTTCAAAGGTGACTCAGGGAGGGTTGGGAAATCGTCTTTTAAGTCAACATTGTTGTCTCTGCGATAGTGGAGTCGGGAGGAACGTTTTGAACTGTTGGAAGGAAATCATTCAGATATCTCAGAGAAAAATAGAGCTCAACAGATGGAGAGATTGTGCAATTTGGATTTGGTGACTACCMACAGATGCACTTGCAGCGTGGACAAAGGAGGAGAGGAGTGCCAAGGATGAATAACTGTGTGTCTCTCCCTCTGATTTCCTCCCTGAAAGCAAATATGAAGAAATAGGTTGGCATTTATTTGTGGATTTGCTGGGTTTTCAAACCTATGAAGAGCAAAACACTGCAAGTCCCACACATGGATCACCTGCTCTTTCTCTATTCTTATTTCACACTCATCTCTGTCAAATACCTCAAATTTTCCACATTCATTGTGCGTGTGTGCGTAGTCTGTGTGTGTGCCCGTGGGGGGGAGTGGTCCCGCAGGCGTACAGCGTGGGCGTGGGCTCCCCCTCCACAGCTGACGCTGAGAAAAGGCAGGAGGACAGTCTGAACCTGCGCACACGGAGGACGCGCTCCGGTGAAGTTGGCGACCGGCGCGCGGAGTTTTCTGTTCGCGCGGAGACGCGCAGACCAGACCCGGATCTGGATCCGAAAATCTCCCTGCTGAGGAAGCGTCGGTGGTCCGAGCAGAGAGACCCGGACTGAAAGACATGAGCTCTTTTTTAGAGGGAGGGGACGATTTTGGTTTAAAAAGGTAAGAAAAAAAAAAAGCGCCGTGCGTCATGATTTATTGTGAAAACAAGAAGCAGGTGGGCTGAGGCTGAGGGTCTGCTGGAAGAGACGCGATTGTGTTTTTATATGTTTTCACGAGATTCACTGTCTCTGTCCATAATAATAATAATTATTATCATAATTTTGCTSACCTGCTTTCTGATTTCATGTTGCTCAGATTAATATCTCAGAAGACGTTTTGATTCCTCAATCAATCATATTTATTTAATTTGTTTCATTGAAATATAAACTATTCACCAAAGTGCTGTGTAAAAAGTTAGAATAGTAAAATCACTGCATACAGGTGGGAAAAAAATAAGATAAATAAAATAAAGTTGTGCAGAAAAATAAAACCAGTCATAGAAAATCCAGACTTTCTGCTCAACTAAAATAATAGATTTGAAATGAGCAGTGCTCAGATTTTCAAAGGCAGTCTCTTCCACAGAGCGGGAGCCACCACTAAAGCTCTGTCACTTATTGTCGTCTCTAAATGAACAATAAATAGAGACTTAAACCTGATTAAGCTCATTTGATCACCTGTCTTTGTGTCTTAGAGCCACAAATGTGTTGTAACGGCAGGCTGAGTAGACAAAGATCAATGAGTAACTGATTTCTGTTAAACATTTATCATTTGGTGGTTTAATGTCTGAGCCACCTGCTTCCTCAAATCTGTGGACTTTACTCGTAAAGATCCTGTAAAGACGAGGGGATGAGCGGGTGTGTTTTAACCTCGTGTGTCCTTGTCCTGCAGGTTGTGAGGAAGCAGCTTCCCTTCGATCCGATCCTCTTGTCCTTCAGGCCGACACTCTTTCGATGTGGGAGACGGTTTCGCTGCATTCGCCAGGCTGAAATCCTCCAGGGTCAGGACCTCCCTCATGGCAGCCTTGCTCCTCGGGCTGCTGCTCTTCGCGTTGCAGTCCCCTCCTCTCCCCTCCAGGCCGCTGGCGGACGGGGGGTCGTCCCCGCCCCCCACCCTCTCGCCCGCCGACAACGCMACCGCCAGCCACCCCAACGGGACCCTGCAGCAGCTCCCGCAAATAATAATCATCGGCGTGCGGAAGGGCGGCACGCGGGCGCTGATCGAGATGCTCAGTTTGCACGGCGCCGTGGCGGCGGCTCAGAACGAGGTGCACTTCTTCGACTGGGAGAGCCACTTCCAGAAGGGCTTGCCCTGGTATCTCAGCCAGATGCCTTACGCCTTCCCCGAGCAGCTGACGGTGGAGAAAACGCCGGCCTACTTCACGTCCGGCAAAGTCCCGAAGCGCATCCACCAGATGAACCCCAACATCAAGCTCCTGCTCATCCTCAGAGACCCCACAGAGCGGGTGCTCTCGGACTACACCCAGGTCTTCTACAACCGCCTCCAGAAACACAAGAGCTACCAGCCGATCGAGTCCGTGCTGGTGAAGGACGGCGAGATCAACCTGGGCTACAAGGCCCTCAACCGCAGCCTGTACTACGTCCACATGCAGAACTGGCTGCAGTACTTCCCCCCGGAGAGCATTCACGTCGTGGACGGGGACAGGCTAATCAAGGACCCCCTGCACGAGATGCAAAAAGTGGAGAAGTTCTTRAACCTGGAGCCTCAGTTGAACGCTTCCAATTTTTACTTCAACAAAACAAAAGGATTCTACTGCCTGAGAGACCACGGGCGAGAAAGGTGTTTACACGACTCAAAGGGGAGGGCGCACCCTCACGTGGCTCCTGCCGTCCTGCAGAAGCTCTACCAGTTCTTCCACGAACCCAACAGGAAGTTCTTTGAGCTGGTGGGACGAACATTCGACTGGAAATGAACCTTTGGTTTTCTCTCTAACAGCTCGAAGGGGGGAAAAAAACTCGTGTAAATTTTAACTAAATCTATTTTTTTACTCTTTGTTTTTGTTACACCGAYGTGATCGAGCCAAATATCGGACAGATGTCAGGTTCTCTGTGTGAAAGTCGTACATTTTACTGAAATTTTGCGCAGTCAGAAACAATTCGACTTTTGGCCAGTGCCCAAACTTGTTACATAAAGATATGCACTGAGCAGTTTTRTATTGTCGAACCTCCGTCTTTCACTTTATATAACACGACTTTAGTGTCTTGCGACATTTAGACCTCTGAAGGAATTTACCTGCTGCTAGGATTTTTTATTTTATTTTTTGGGTCACTTTCAGGCACAAACAATCCTGATTTTTGTTGCCTAAAATTTACTTTATGTTGTTATAAATCCTGTGTGCACATCAGATATTGCTAATCAATAATTATGTATTGTACATTTTTTAAACTAAGAAATTAATACCATAATAAAAATGTATTTTATTTTTAGGATGCCTGCTGCTCTTCTTTCTATCTTCTTCCTGGTTTTCTGTTTTGTAAGTCATCCATTATGCATCTGTCTGCTGTGCAGTTTGTCTCAGGTCTCAGTAGGACGACTCGTCATTATTCACCTGCAAACTCTGTTTAAGGGAAGAGCACAACTTTTATTGAAGTGTTGACCCTTTGTTGTCATGTGCACGTCAAACGGCAGCTCAGTTTACATCGTGTAATTTTCCTTTAAAGCCATCGTGTCTGCAGAGGCTAACCTGCTGCTTTATCTGATGTTTCTCATGTTTCCACTCTGATTAGCTGAAAGAACATTCAGAGCTGRTTCTTTACACAATAAATTACACTTTGCTACGGTGCAAAGGGTTTAGCATAAGTGCATTGAGARTGGGCACAGAGGTAAAGTCAAATTTGAGCCCAATCTGCACCGCACAGAATCAAAAGAGAAGTTGTTTATGCCCCAGGGTGCAATCTTCCTGCTTAGTTTTTAAGACATGGAAGACATTATTTATTCAAATCGCATCGCTGCGTACAAGCAACAGCAGCACAGTCTTATACTACAAAAATAAAAGAACACTGTAGCTGTTTCATATTTGAATGTGGCCTGGATCCACTCAACTTCAGACGAGATGTTAACCTCCCTGCCCTGCTTCAACGCAGACCACAGCATTATTCTTTTCTCTTTGCCCTCTGAGATCACAAATTGTATTTTTTTTCCTGCTGTCTCTGCAGTTTGCATGTGTTCTTTTCTGGATTGTGTCGTTGAGTAATATCAGAGAGGCTTTGGAGGGAAACCGGTTTTGCTGCGGGCAAAAAAAGGAGAAGGAGAAAAAAATGGCAGAGAAGGTAAACAGAACGGCTGATCTCTGCTGGTAGATTATCAGGGAGCAGCTTGCGTCGTCTGGCGATGGAACTGAGACTGAAACGGCTTTTCTGGGTTTTACGCTTCATGTGATGGAATGTTCACTTGAAATCAAGCGGCAATGTCAGTGTCACCTTCCTCTGGGTCGAAGACTGATGGAATATCCAGATAAATCTATTTTCTCTCCAGCCTGCAAACACATTCATTTTAGAAAAAGATGAAGAAAATAAAAAATAAAATCTGCACCCTCAGAATCTATGCAAAGCTTTACCTCTGATGGAGGAAAGTACCTTTACTCAAGAGCTTTAGGGACTTTTTCTTTGCTCTTTCAATTTTCTGCCCACTTATTATAGTACTTCACAATTTTCATGACAAATCATCTGCTGAGATTTTAAAGCAAACTGTGACAGTTTTCTTCTTGGCTCTTTACAAACAGAAAAAAGCACAGTTAGGATCCGTTATTTGGTGTTTTCAACTTGACCACATCCTTTAAATGATTGTTTGAGGCCTAAAAGTACTGAAAAATACAAACATTTTATTCTTCTAAAGCAAAAACAGTCTTCAGACCTTCAATAAAATAATCGTAGATGTTTACACTATATAAAAATCCCAAAGCAAAACATGGTTTTACTTTAGAAAAAGAAGTAACCGATCATAAAAGATGTGATTAGATTATTGGTATTGAAGCGTTTATAAGCAGCGTGATTTCTTCTGACCAAAAATAGATTCAAACAAAGGAACGATGACTCGATCTGTGGCCGCATCAGATGATTAATGGCTGAGAAGAGAGAAAAATAAAATGATAAATAAGACATCAGAGGGGAAAAAAGGTTTTGCTGAGCTGGTTTTGCTTAAAAAACGTGATATTGTTTTATCCAAAAATAGAATCCAGATAATTAAGCTACTTAACTTGTTTTAAAACTTGTGAAATTAAAATTTTGAGCTGACAAGCTTCCGATGGATACTGAAAAAAAAACTTGTAAGGTTTACTTGAAAAAATCCTCGTAACAATTTGCACTAACATTTGTTAAGTAAATTTAAATGCTCCAAATTCATGTGACATTTACTCATCATTATCTAGTAAAAGTTATTAAGAATATAGTTAAAGATTTGTGAATAAATCAGGTATATTTTACTTAATTTGCTCAATTAAATTTTGTAACATATACTTGATCAAATTAAGTAAAATGTATCTGATTTATTCACAAATCTTTACCTATATTCTTAGTAACTTTTACTAGATAATGATGAGTAAATATTACATGTATGTAGCATTTAAATTTACTTAACAAACAGTGCAAATTGTTACGAGGATTTTTTTCTAGTAAATCTTACAAGTTCTTTTTAATATAATATGCGTCAAGCACAATATTGTAGCATGATGACACCTCACAGCTACAGAGAGAGGTGTAGCTCTTGTTGTAGTTCAAGACTTCACTACCAGGTGGCAGTTTTGAAGATCCTTTATTGGATTCTTCTTCATGAACAACACAGACAAAGTGAAACTCACAGGTCTTATTAATGACTAGGCCTACCACTCTCACTTATG